ACAGGAACTGTTAAAAGCAAATTTGCACAGGGCTCAAACATTGAGGACTTATTTTCTCTATATATATCAACTTATTAACTGCCTCCCTTGACATATGTGCAATTCACAAGACAGAAAGTGCAAAGAGAAAATACTGGAGTGCATGGAGAAAAGGAAGAAATGTATCAGTCACAACAATCATCAAAAAGAAAAAGTCATCTATTATCTGAATTGTTACATTCAGCTAAGCTTTTAGCCCTCTGACTTAGCTACTAACTATACATCTGTAGCAAATAAAGTCATACATATCCACTAATGCAATACTGTTTGAAAGCTATCACCATGCTCAGAAACTACAAAAATAACTACTTTAAGCTCTGAAGACCATGATTTTTCTCTAAATGTAAAAGATTATAAATCGTGTATAAATTTGACAACCTGAACAAAGAATCAAAACGAAAAGTATTGATAACTGCATAAAATAGTGTTGTTCTTATTAAATATAATTAATCATCCCAATTAAAAAACAATTAAGATTTTAAGTAATACTCCATCTTCATAGTAATTTTTAGAAATGCTGCTTAGAATTAGAAGAGTTCAAATAAAAAATATTAGCAAGTGTTGAATAAGTTGCATGGCATTATTTAGAAATCAGAACTATTCAAACACAGATATATCAACACACATATATATATGTAATATATATTAAATCAGAGAAAATATTAACCACTGTAAGAGATAACCCTCTCATCAAGCGTTCTTCACTATTCACTATTGTGTGCACACTAAACAAGAACCCCCTCCCCTGCATACACACAATTACATTTAAAACTAGAGAAAAACACTCAGGTATGCCCTACATAATGTGTTTGTATTTGTCATCTCGATGGAATATATTTTATGCTTACTATAAGATTGTCTATTTATTAAGAAATTTAAATGAACTTGTTTAGTTAAACAACTTACAAATTAAAAGAATTATTATACTATTAGACAATGGACTTAGTTATTAGTGTAAAACAAAAGTTACTATCTTTCCAATACCAGTTCTAATGAGCAAAAAAGTAATAAAATATTCTATTCAATGAAATATCTAAATTTGTTACATGATATGGTTAATTACTTCAACATAATACAATGATTACTGAAATTGGAATAATCACTTTTAATTACCCAAGAATTATAGAATAACTGTGCCACTTGTCTGTCAAAGGAAGATTTCTTTTTTAAACAAGCGAAGGGCTAGAGTGATGGTTCAGTGGTTGTGAGTGCTTACAGTTCTTGTAGAGGAACTGAGTTCCCTTCCTAGCACCCAGATTGAGCAGATGAAAATTGACTATAACTCAAGTTCAAGGGGTACTTGCACTCATGTGCACAGCTCCCTTAAACACACCACACCCTCTCTCTCATACACACATAACTAAAATAAAACATCTTTAAGATCTGACCTGGGAAAAGAAGCACTTATTTGTCTATAACTAGCATTCATGATGGGGAGGCAGGATGTATGAGAGCAAGGAGATTGTGGATACAAAGGATGTTGGAGACAGCCTGGAGGCTGCAGAAATGCAATATCAAATGAACAAGCAAACATAAATCAATAACTGAATTGAGTTCATAACTAAGTAACTGTCAGTAGCCTAAAACTCAGTAACATTTATAGGGCATGTGTTGAATAAATGAAAAGCAGTGGGTTAATATGCCTGTAAGTGCAGGAAGTACTTTGTTTATTTGTTGTTGTTGCTTAAGATAGGCTCTATTATGCATAGGCTTGTTTCAAACTCTTACATGGGTGCTGAATTTGAACTCACATCAGCATCATTGGGTAGTGTTTTGGTCTGAATTAAAATAGCCTCCATAGCTCATCTTTTTGAATACTTGTTCTTCAGAGAGTGAAAAAAAAACTTGGAAAGGTTGGATTATGTGGCCTTGCTGGAGGAGGTCTGTTCTTTGGAGTAGGGTTCAAGTACAGCACTACCAGTTGTCTCTCTGTTGCCTGGTTGTGCCTCAAGATGTAAGGTATTGGCTACTGCTCCACAGCAATTCTCCCACCTGTTGCTGTGTTCTCTACTATGACAGTCATAGACTCACTGTCTGAAACTATGGCCCAATAAACTCTTATATAAGTGTCATAGTCAAGGTGTGTTGTCTCAGTAACTGAACTGTAACTAAGAAAAGCAGCAAACTCCTAATTTTGGTGCTAGCTCTCCAGTCTCAGTTTCCAAGACAAGGTTTCACTCTCTAGTCAGGACTTACATGAAACTCAATATCTAGGCCAAAATGGGATCACAGTTGCGTCAATCATCATGCATCCACTTCTAGTAGGCTGATATTAAAAGTGTGGAACAGCATATCTTATAGTCTATGTAAGGTAGTAGATTGCAGTTTCAGCATGATAGGCATTGTATGTTAATTAAAAAAGCACAGAGCAATGCTTTTATAGCATGATTAAAGGGGTTTACATTTCAAAATATTTGATATGAGGAACCTGAGCCATAATATGTCACTATTGGGTATTTCATTGAAAAAATAGACAGCAGGCAAGTGAAGTCATAGGCTTCCAGATTCTGTACCAATAAGAATTAAGACCAAGCAATCTAGAGCATAGGAGGGACTTCATGGAAGAAGGGAGATAGACAAAATCAAGATGGGCTAATGGTACTTCTGGAACTTCACCTGAAAATAATTGCTAGGTTAACATTTTTTGAAGGCAAACATGTACTGTGAATATAAATAATAAAAACAAAAAATAAATGTGCCATTTGTTGTGATTTTATTTAAGTTTAAAAATATAAGAAGGTACAAGATGAGACCTGAGAACAAGAGATACATTAACCATAGTTTCTTACATGTTGGGGAGGGAGAGTGGGAGTGGGATTGAGAGAGATGAGAGAGAGGCAGAAGAGGAAGAGACAGAGAGCAGAGAGCAGGGAGGAGGTCAGAGAGAGTAAAGAGAAGAAAGAGAAGAGAAGACAAGAGAAGACAAAAGAGAAGACAAGAGAAGACAAGAGAAGAGAGAAAGAGAAAAGAGCATAAGCAGGCAGGGGGTCTATCTTTTAAAGATGTCCTTTACATATGCATACAGACTTAGTTCCCATGGAAGCCTGGGCTGACCAGAGTACTTCCTGAGTGGATTCTGCCAGGTAACAGGGCCAGGCCAGCATGATGCCTGAAGCTTTCACCATTGATATTAAATAAAAATGAAAATTCAGGCTGTCTGTAAAGTTATAAATGAAATCACTTTTTGCTGCATAACCACAAAAGAATTGTGACGATTTTCATTATGTCCCTCCCTTGTATACTTCTGGATTCCCATGGGTACATGAACGGGAGACTATATTGTGATTTCAATGTTACATGTTAATTGTAGACCTAAGTCCTTGAAGCAGCTATGTAGTATTTTATTGTGTAGGTGCATACAGCACCTACTAGGTTTCTAGGTTTCTGCTCTTACACATTTCCAGTTTTCTGGCCAATTTTCAAGTTACTTTACGTGGAAATGGGTCAAAAGGACAAGCAAACTGAACTTGGATTTATATTTATTTGTGTATTAATTAACCTCCTTATTAAACTACCTTTATTTCCTAAAAAAAAAAATACACAAAAGCAAATTAGCAAGTAAACAAAAAAGTAAGCATAGAAACACTCATTTGATTTTAAGGTAAGGGCTACACATATGGTTGTTCTTATTCTTCATTCTTTATCACAGAAAAACTATATATATCCTATGTAATGACAGACTCATTTCTCTTGGTTTGGAATCTGAACCATTGGATACCAATGGAACATGATATCCTCTGCATCTCCACAATTTTTATGCTTTAAATCCAGAGCACAAGAAAAAAAATGGAAAAAAAAAAAACTTGTATCTTTTCACACAACCAAAAAAAATGCAGCCCACTATGATCATCTATTTTTAACTCCATCAGGCAATAGGAAATGAAACTTATCCATCTCCAACTTTTGAAAGACCAGTAATTCAAAACCAAAAGAAAGACATGATGACTTAAGTAGGATTCTACTTCCTTATTTTTTTAAATGATTAATTTTACTTTCTTTTTTTGGTGTTTCAGAGAGACAGAGAGAGAAAGAGAAAAACAGAGACAGAGGCATAGACAGAGAGGAATGTTACAGTATGTGTGTGTGAAGATAGATGATCTTCTGGAGCTGGAGTTAATGTCGTGTGACCTTCATTCCGGAAACTGTACTCCAGTCTTCTACAAGATACGTCACCATCCTCAACACTGAACAATCTCTCCAGAACCAGCAAAATACCTGTTTAAGTTTCTTACCTTTAAGATCTATCAAGAGTTAGCTATTCATTCATATTTTTTTCCAAATTCTCACTTACCTTGCATTTTAATGTTGTGTTTAGAAAATGAAACAACAGTTTCTTCATCAGGGAACAGTAGGATGTTGATATGAATAGTGACTATTTGGGGGGAACAATTTGTTCCCAGAAACAAAACACCAGATTGGTTTTTGTTATTAGCAAAGCCTAACTATATTTGTGAGATTGTATCCTTATAGTCTAAAAGAAACTTCTGATGCATCTTTATGAATAGATGTTTACAATGACTAGAGTTACTCAGGTCTGGAATTTTGAAATTCTATCCCAAATATTGACAGGTGGTTTGTGAATAGACAATTACAACGTCTAGAAGTACTCAGGTCTGGTATTTTGAAATTCTATCTCCAACACAGATATGAGGTTTCTAACTGTTGCAGAATGTTGTTAATTTATTATTGATTTTTATTTCCCATGGTCTGGACCAGTCAGTACTTATATGTTTATTAGAAACACTAGGGGAGTTAAGAACTTAATTTTTAAAATCCAGTTTGAAGCTTAATTTTAGAGGCTAAATCCTATGAGTACCTGTCTTAGTGATAAAAAGATACTATAACTCACAGCCTTATATGAGCATTCAAAGAGAAAATAGAATTTCAGTATTAAATTTGGAATTAGGTTGATGGGTCAGAATTTCTTTGAATCAAGATATTTCATGTTTAAAAAAATTAGTGATATTTCTTAACACATCCAGAAAGTAACCTCCCCAGACTAGATGCCAAAAAGCCTGAGTTGTGAAATTTCTCTACACTTTATTTGGCCTGTGGCATTCAGCTTATTTTCCAGGAAAATAGAGAGAAATTAGTATTTCTGTCTATTGTGAAGGTCAATGCATTATCATAAAGTAACAAGGATATTTCACTTTCTGAGTGTCTAGGGTTCTAAGAACAAACAAGACGTTTGCCTGCCTGCATAGAAGAAACAAAACAAAACATCAATCCCTCCCTTGTAGCAGACGACCAATAATTATGCTTCATAATATTGCACAACTTGCTAGGAGCCTGAGACAAAAATACTATTGCTCTAAATGCCTGTGAACACACAAATTTACAGTGCCAAAGAGGTAATAACTTTTGTCTTAGCAGTATTTCAGGAAGTGTATGCTTGAAGAACCACTTGTTGAATCAATAGATGAAGGAATAATGGATAACACAATGGATTAACAACTATTATTACAGGGCAGGGAGGAGTTCTTTGCCACTGAGAAAGTTAAAGAAGATACCTTCCAGTGAAAAATAATATAAGATTTTTTTTTGTTTAGAAAGCTGTCACTATGCAGAGCTAGAAAACTTCCAATAGTCCATTTCTGAATTTTCCCTACCAGCCCAACATAAGAACATTACTTGTACTGCTTCTCACTTTTGACTGCTTAAACAGGTGCATCGAATCCCAACCAATGTGAAGCTACTAATGGGATAACATTTTGCAGACATGTGAACAGTGGCTCGCACATACCACACATAGAAGAAATCACTAATTGCCACTTTATATAGACTCTTACACATGTATTCACTTTGAATCTTGCTCATATTTTCGTTCATGATTCAAAATGTGTTGTTAAAACAATGTAGACAACTTGATTTTGTATATTACATGATATGAGAAGCAGGATACAGGATACATTGCAAAGAAAAGTTCATGAAGCAAAATATCCCAATAGTGGTTGTTGAAGTCTATGTAGTTTTTGTGACAATTTAATTGGGCTCAAGTACCAATGAGAGAAGGAATGTAGAGGACATTACTTACTCAATTGTGTTCCTGTCCACTTTTCCTGTCATGTTAATGCCATAAAACTGCTGCATGGCAGCTAGGGCCGATTGCATGGTCTCTGCAGAACGCAGCACTGACTTTCTGAAATCAGTCGTGGGAAGGTAGCCGTATTTTTGTAACCACACCTGTAATCACAAGTACAATTCCTTTAGATTAACTTTACAATTTAACATTAATGTTCTGGAAATTTATTTATAACTACAGTAGATTCTAGACTTATTTTGTATCTTTGAGATATACATTATGTACTAAAATCATTTTATAATTTCCATCGTGGTTGTAGCACTAATGTGAAATAGTAAAAAGTGTGATTAATCACTACTTAGGTATTTGTTGCATATAGTTTGTATACTTAATATGAAATGAAATTACAAATATTATTTCGTGTGTCTTCCAGGGAACAAACTCCAAAGTCATACTTTTCTAGAAGTTTGTCAAGACATCATTGCTGGAAGGGGAATAAAACATTCACATGATGCATCTAAAGGTTGTTTTCTATGAACAACTTAGCAGTGGTTGCAGCTGGGATGGGTGTCTATACAGATGAACTATGATATTCGTGGCATTTTCATATATTATTCATATAAACACTTCACCCATCCATAGCTGGATATTCTCTTGTATGTAACTTTTTCATATGAAGAACGGCCATTATCTAAGCTATTTCATAAATTGCAATGGATACATAACATTCAACTTTCTTCTATATTTAGTTCTCAATTTAGAGGTCTGAGGACTCTCAATTTCTCCCCAGTGAACAGTCTTGGGGAAAATGATGACAGAAAGAAGTTAGAGAGTAGCAAATTTC